CTGGAGCTGCTTGTTTGCCTCCAGAAGAGCTCTCCAGCCTGACGTTTTTTCTGGAGGGGAGGGAGGGTGCTGAGAGATTTGCCTACTGAATAGCACAGTCATCAGCATCCCAAAAGGGCAGGTTCAGGCAATAAATCCAGGATTCTGTTTACCAAATGGCTTCTGGGCAACCCCATCTCAAATGTGTAGCTACTAATTTCAACAGGGCAACCTGGCAGGGAGAAACACTCACTAAATATTCCTTGCTGAGGGGCTCCTCTGGTGAAAGGGGCAAGCCTAGATGGAACCAGGACAAAGATACTGAAAGGGACTGTGTCTGTTTTAATGTAAGGCTGCAAGAGGGTGTGGACAAACCTGCTGAATTATGTCCCTGCTCTGTGTGCTGGCTGTGGATGACTGGGCAGCACTGGTTTTGTGGTGCCAGACACCATTGTCATTTCATGCTAATGCCATTGTAGTCATGACAAAAGGTGGCTATTGTTGCTTGCTTTCTAGTCAGTGTATCCACGAGGGGAGATGGTGGCTAAGTGCTGAAATCCTCACCCCTGGGAGCAGGGGAGCTCTCCTGGATGCCCTGGCACTGCCTCCACCTAACCTCCATCCCTCCAGCTGGAGGTGAACTGCTTCTTCCAGCATCCCAGCCCTGCCGGGAAGCCCAAATCAGTCCGGGGATCTCATTATGCTAAGCACCCTCACAAATGCACAGCAAGAGCCAGCCAGCATCTGGCCCAAAGATAAAGAGTCTAGAACAAGAGAGGATGAGGCAGAAACAGAGAAATGTGAAGGTACTTGCCCAGCGCTGCAGAGTGGGTCCAGGGACAGACTTCAGAACCAAATCTTTTGCACTCCAGTGGCTTGGAATTTAATGTCAGATTGTAGAAACATTTGTGTGGTGGACTGTGAAAAGACTCTGCCACGCTGAGAATGGCCAAACTATTCATGAGACACAGAACTAATACCCCTGTGCTAAGGACAGGTTTTCCCAAAACTCAGATAAACCTCCAGTCTCCTTCTCCTGTCCCCAACCAAGATGGGATCCCACAAGCAAACTTGTGGTATCTGGTTTTGTTTACCTCCTAATAATTTTTTAAGTCTCTCCTCAGGCTCTGGAACATACTAAACAATCATGATACCAGCAGAAATTAGACCACTAATACATCCCAGGTTCTAGAATCAGTAGTTGAGACACTTTCTGGAATGATTCAAAGGTAACATGAACTGTCACACATGTGAAAGAGGCTGGAAAGTCAGGACAGCACCAGTGAAATCCTTGCAAATAGCAATGGAGAGCAGTACTATGTATCTGGAAAATTATAAGCAACTGTAGATATAACAACTGTATTCACACCCCAACTGTATTCACACACCAGCACAACACCCACAAAAAGCTCTAAAGGTACAAGTGAAATTTTGTATTGGCTCTGGATGTCTTTGCTAAGAATAATATCATTCTCCTTAACAGGCAAGAATAAATGCTTAAGTATTATTAGATATGAAATGGAATATGGAAGATTTCAGCCTTTCAGAACTACTTTTGAACTGTATTCTGAAATTTGAAAATCTTCCTGCAGTTTACCAGACTACAAGGTGGTATTACAGTCACCTAAGGAAATGAATGCATAGCTGAGGGGCAAAAGGGTTTATAGTATCTGATAATACCTTAGGCATTGATAGGACATTTTTGTACAGGTTGAAAATGCATTCTTCATTTTTCACTGACAGCTGGTTAAAAGAGGAATGCAGTGAAAAGTCTGTAAAAGCTTAGAAAAAAACACCAAAAAAAGCCCCCAAAAATGGTGAAGTCTGCACTGCTGTTTTTCTCCCCCCTCTGCTAGTGAGTGATGTGGTTGTTAATAGCAGCTTTTGGATTCAGTGCCACCAGGGAACAGAGAGTCTACAGCACTTCTTGAACCAGGCAAGGACAGGGTTTCACATCCCTTTTTAATACAATAGGGTAGAAATACTGGAGGCAACTTTTCACAGTTCTTCATTAGGGATGGAAAAGACCTTTGCAATCATCCAATCCAACCATCAGGAGCATTAAACCATGTCCCCAAGTTTTCTCTTTTCTTCTCTACGTCCATCTCTAACAGCTCCTCCCAATCTCTAAACCTTTAAACAAAATAAACCTGTACCTTTTAACTTTTTGTTTGTTTGTTTGTTTGCACTTTCGAAAGCATCTTGTTCCTTTCCATTCAAACACACACAATTTAGATGCAGGTCCTTCTTAAGGCATCATCTCTTTTTATTTGGGATAACCTAGCAAAAAACTGTTTCACTGATGAAGGAATTCCTGCAAGAGCATCTTCACTCATCTGCCCTTTCTCCCCCTCTTTTCCCAGTGCTCTTTTCTCTGAATCCCTTCTTTGATTTGAGTTTTCTCTCTTTGAATCCCTTCATTTGTTTCTTCTGCTCTGACATCAAGTCAAGGTTTATTACACTCAACTCTTTCAGTACCACTAGTAACTATTTTCCTGCTTTTGTCCATATACTCTTCTCCACTTCATCTCTTCATCTCTCTCCAAGTCCATATCTTTTGTCTGAAAAAGAACCCAAAACCTCCTGTAGAGGTTTTCTGTCTTTTCTCTTGTAAAGAAAATTTATTTTATAGAGAAAAGCTATCTGGTGATCTAATTTCTGACAGCAGATAAAACAGCTTTGATATTGGTCATTTTTCCTGAAATATGACAACAGAATGAAACGTGCTTGCTATTCCTCCATGCATCTATGATTTATTCTCAGAGTAAATGTATTCTTTCCTCTGAAATATAGGCAGCAAAAACAGATTAAATAATACACTATGCAGCCTCAAGAGCGTGAAGAGCAGACTCAGAAGCTTATAAACTGGTGACTGCACCAAGCTGGAACATTATATTTGGAGAAAGATTCCTGTATGTCTGCTACTGGTATGTTGGACACTGGTTACTGGGCTAGTTGGGCATCTGCTCTGCTAGAGTCCCTGGGTTACATCCCTTATTTATTTGTCTTGAAGACCTCCAAGTGCTTTTATGGGAACACCTAACATTCTGATTATTAATAACAAGAAAAAATTATATTATGGTGAGAGCAGCAGAACTGCTGCTGGCAGTATTATTTGCAATCCTAATCCCACACATCCAACACGCTGTCCTGAACCTCTGTGCCTTTAGGTAGGATCAGCTGGGGCTTTGTTTTGTTTCTCCTTTTCCAATTCTGCTGCAGGCGATTCACTTTGCAGCTTCCATCCATTAATCTCAAAGCGCTTTTCCATAGAGGAATTAATTAAGACTCCAACACACAAGAATTAATTAAGACAGTAGTAGGCATGTTTTATCATCTCCATGTTGCACATGGGGGAACTGAGGTGAAGAAAGAGTTGCCTAATTTGCAGAGCTGGGGTTGTACTTAGGCATGTATCCCATCCTCTCGAGCTGCTGCATAAGAATATCCTCTCTCTCCTAACGTTGTGAGGCAGATATCCAGTTTATGAAGTAAATCACCACTGACATGCAGTCCTATTCTTCAAAATGGAAACGCTTCCCTCAGGCAAATACCTCGGCCAGTTAAATTTCTAAACACATCCTTCTTTCTTATTTCAGACAGAAAGGAGCACACAGCACGAAAAGCAAACTCCTGTAACCGCCGTGGGATCTGATAACATTTATACCCTGGCTCTAAAGAATCAACTCAATACTTGGAGCTTGTAATCTTATCATCCTGCATTAACAGACTCTCCCTCTTTCTCAGCATTCACATGTATACTTCTGTTTGATAAAGAAAGAAATATAAACCTAATGACTTATGATTTTTATCTGCAGTTCATAAAACCTTTGTGCAGCTAAGGCCGGGCTGGCAAGCTTCTGAAATGCAACAGTGCCACCTTCAGATCATGCTAAATTTGACTTTTTCACAAACCATCCAGAGGGAAGAAGCACAGCAGCAATTTTTCTTTTTATCCAGACACACCCAGCAGCATATAAACCTGAGCAGAACTTACACATCCCCCTACTGAAACACAAATGCTCTCAGGGAACTAGAACTCTTCATCTTCATAGCTAAACATTAATAAAAAGCAATCAAATACTACTTTTTAATGCCTGGCATATTCATTGTCCAAGCATGAGAATCACAGCATATTCCCCTGCCACTGTGCTAGCAATCACACTGGGCAGAGCAGCACATCAGCTGGGAGCTGCTCTGCAACCTTCATGGAATTATCCTGGGTATGCTGGGTCCCAAGGGAGAGCCAAGCTACACTAAACACTGGAAACAGATATATCTGGAGACATGAATGTATATATACTATATTATTCACACTCCATACTGGATACATAATGCATCATATCCCCCCAGAAACATCTTGCTCTGGAAGAAACCTCCCAGCAAATATGACCCTCCCTGCTATATGAGGAGATGGAGGTTTAGCCTATACACAGATATCATTCCTCCCATGGCTCCTCCCTGCCAAGGTGAGCCTATAAATCAAACATCTATGTTTCATTATGAAATCTCTTCTAAACCACAGCATTTGACAAATCCCTCAGTGGAGATAACTATTTAAAACTGAACCAGCCTGACATGAAATATTAAATCAGGTAACAGTTTCAGTAATTCAGTCCTTTTTGAAAATTTGATTATTATGCAAAAATTTGGGCAATGCTGTTGAAACAAGAAATAACAGTGAATTAAATTTATGGTCTCTTTGCTGACATGCTACATATTTTATCTTTGGTTTTATTCTAATGGGCAAACCTCATCATTTTAAAGCTAAGCCATTTGCATTTGTAATTAGAGCCAACTCTGAAAAAAAATGAAAATACTTCTCAAAATAAAATTTAGGCCCCTGGTATTTTGAACAAAAAATTATCTACGATATTAATTCAAATGACACATTTTTGGACTGGAGAATATTAAATCAATAAAGGTTTGAAAATCAAGGTGGGAATGAATTACTTCACTTCTTTGAGCTTGTTCTGTGATATTACTGACAGAAGAAAGCCAACTGAAAGCACCCTACTCACCCACTGTCATGCCATCCATGTAACGCTTGATGATATCAAAGGAATCCCTTAAATTTCCTTCTGTTATGTCAAATATGATATCTGCCTGGTTGGCTGGATATGTAGGTGTGATGGCACGAAGAAAAATAATCTCTGTAAATAAAGAGCATTGTAGAATGTATTGAGAAGGAGTTGAGAACATTACTGAAGAACCTGACAGAATTTGGTGCAAAACGACTTGTCCTCAAAGCTGGTGGAAATGAAGATGTGGAGGAAGGAAGGATTTGGATAGATTGATTTTCTCCTCCTGCATCATCCAAGAAGCCCAGGAGCCAAAACAGTTAACAGCCCAGAAAGACCACTCTTAGAAAGCAGTCAGCATGAGGACAACACTGAGGATGGGCAGTGTAGGAGGACCCAACCCATAAACCCCTGAACTCTGATTCCCATAGGCAGCTGCACCAGGGATTGCCAGTGGAAATTACAGGGTCCTTTTGAGTAATGTAGAGGGGTTTAGATTTAAAAAAAAATAAAGGGAGACTATTCTTCAAGCCTCTTGTAAGCATTATTAGTCTCATTATTATTCTTACTCTACAGATGATGCAACTAAACCACGGGGCTGTAAGAATTCACCCAAGGCCATGCACTGAATTACAGTTTAGGAACATCTTGTCTTCAGTGGTACTCTCAGATCCCTGGGTCTCAACTCCTTTTATGAAATCATGAGGATGGGCTAATGAGGGGATGGTTTGGGAAGCACCCTGGGCCAAATCCTTCACCCTGCTGCCAGCACACGTGTTTGGGAGCAGAAGTGGCTATGAGGCATTGAGGTCTATGAGATATGAGCTTTGGCCTTCATTTAGGATGATTTTCTGAGATTGCAAGGCTGAGATTCTGGGTGCATCAGAAACAGGGATTTAAGATCTTTAAAAGCCTTAACAATCTTTCCTCCACCCCCTTCTGCTCTCCCTGTGTCTGTGCCTCAGAGCAAGTTGCTGAGTGGCTCATCCTCCAGAGAAGCAGGGCTGAAGGCAGTCAGCCCACATATGGATCTGTAGGCAACCAATCCCCAGTGAAGCTGCTGGAAAATGAATACAAATTCCAAGGAGCAAAAATTAGCTCTTGGAGAAATTTCCCTTTATTCCATATTTTAAAAACAACACTTCTTTTTTTTCATAGGTCAAAACCAGGCAAATCACAGTACTCGATCTTATAGTCAATATAAATCACAGTACTTGATCTTATATTCAATATAAGGTATTTTGGGATTAATGTTTGCATGTAGATAAAGGCTATATCCTTTGAACAAGCTGTCAACAGTGAACACCAGACCATAAACAGATAAGAGAAATATAATTAACACCTCCTTCCTATGGCAAAATCTGCCAAAAAGGGGAGAGAAAAAATATCACGGGGCACAGGGCTATTATGTGAGTAAAGGCAGTAAAAATGAATTCAGACTCAAGATTTCCTTAGACTGGGAAGCTGGATGAGTTAGAGCTCAGAATGACTTTCTTTGCCCCATAAAATTAAATCTCCTGGATAGCAAAGGTTTTAATTAAAGGACTAGTACACTGTAATTTGGAACCGTGCAAACGTTTTACTGCCCCGGTAGCTAGTCTGGCTTAGGGCAAGGATTTCCAGGGGGAGTTTTATATGTTGTAGTCTAATGGAACAAGGAACCAACCACTTACCTTCAGGTCTTGTAAATTCTCTGAAGGTGGGCAGGGAAATGACAGTGTGGGAAATCGTGTGGACTGGATCCAACACACAGTTGACATCATTTGGTCGACAGGACTTAATGCAACGGATGGTATCTGTCTTCTCAAGTCTGACACTGAGAGAAACAACAGAGAGAGAATATCCTCAAAATTACTTTGTGTTTTGCAAACTGGGGAGCTAAAAACTCACGTATAAAAATATGTGTTTATTCTTCACCTCAGAAAACTTTAAGACAAGTGCAGATCATCAGAAGTGCTGGACCACTGAGAAGTGTGGCTTGGCTGAGAGCAGCAGGCAAAACCCCCTCAAACACAGTTCTTCAAGCCAGGAGGAGTGTAGTGTGTAAGATGCCATCCACGTAAAGTCTCTTTCCAAGGACCAAACTGCTAAGCCCAGGTCCTCAGCTGCAGTGCCCTGGCCTGGGCTCACCAGTTTCAGAGGACCCACACTTATCTGCACAAGCCTTTTTGTGACAATCAGGGGGATAAAGCAGAAACAATTGTTTCCATTCTGGAAATCTGGCAGGATATATCTGAAGGGCCAACTCTCCATCACCATCTTCAGTAAGAGCCAGAAAAGCTTCTCTTAAGTCTTTTTATTTTTTTTATACACACAACCTTTTATTTAAACTGAGAAAACACAGAGGAATGAAAACTGAGGGAGGGAAAAAAAAGTTAACCACACTATTTAAAACCTCAAAGATTGAATTCTGAGTTTGGGGAAATGGTAAGGGTCGTTTCATGTTCCATCTCAACCAGCTGCTCATTCGTCCTTGAAAGTCTGTTAAAAGTTAAATGACTTCTTCTCACCCTTGTCTACTAGAGTGAATTTAAAGTCACTTACAGTTCAAGAACTTCACACAATGCCCAGTCTGTGTTCATGAGAGATGAAAGGGCTACGCTGGGACTTACAATGTGACTAAGCCCCACAAATGATCTCAACTTTGACCTGCCCATTTCTTCATATTTCTAAGTGGAAAAAAGAAAAGACTGCAATGTTGGGGGGGGGGGAAGAGAGGGGGGTGTATTAAAAGACTAAAAGAAAAATTCAGTGAGTAAAAGGGAAACAAAAATGGAAGCTTTAGTTTGTCAAGATACCTCTAGAAACAAATGATTCTTGCTCTTTTCAAAATGTGTTACCCAAGTCCACACCTCCAAGCCATCTTTCTTCAGATGTTCAAAGGGACTTTATGGCTCTATTAATAATAAATACATCAGTAACTTCTTGTTATATGCTGCCCACATTTGCTCATCAAAGAAAACAAAGCCAAACACGCTGACATTGTATGAAGCTAAAATAAAGATAAAAGAGAAAACATGAATCAACACTAAGGAAACCATCAGCTTCAAGAGCTGTGAAGGGGCAGAGTCCACAGGGAGGCAATGAGCTGAGTCTGGCTTCTCATTCTCACTCTGCCATTCAGGTTTTGAGACTGGCCAGGAGATACAGAGCAGGAGACACCTTTTACTTCCCACCGTTACCTGGGCACAAAGTTCTGTCATTTCCTAGACAGCTGACAGGTAACAGCACAGGGTTTTCTGCTGAAATGTCTCCTGCTGGTCATTTTAGAACAAAGTAATTCTGGATATATGGACATAATAGCCTGACTTACAAGAATACATTCTATCCCTTTATTTTAAATCTCAGCTGCCAAATTAAGCAAGGAATTCTAGCTAGCTGCCCCCCACATCTGTGAAATAAGGATCAGCTAAGCTACAACCTAGTTCCACTGTATAATATGTATATGTCAAAATAGGTAATAAATAGAATTGGGGCAAAATGTATATAATTTTTGTTATGTATACCCCCTTTTTTTTGCCCTTACTGTGCATAGAAGACTTTAGTTGACATTCACACCTATACAGTCACCCTAACTCATGCTGTGTCTTTCCCCAGAATCCTGCTGAGCTGAGATCACAACAGCTAAGTCACACTGGGTTTACTTCCAACAACATGTTAAAGGTTTTTCTCTAAAACAGGTCTTTATTACTAAGTACTGGTACCAAATATACAGCACCCTAAATTTTCCTAGCTATATATAGGTAATAGAAATTGTAGAAAAAGAAGCATTCTGATGGGAGCATCAGAAGCTTTTTTTTTTCTACCTCTTGGTAACACTTTGTTCTCTCATTGCTTTGGTGGCACATCTTTGTAGACACCTTCTGGAGTAAATTCTTTGACAATTAGGATCTATTTCAAATAGTTTTATTTCCTATTAATGACATGCTTTAATCTCAAAATACTTCTTTTATCCTTACACATCATCTTTGCATTTGATCTTTTAATTAGATTAAATTTAATTTGATCTTGTTGTTCATGCCCTCCTATAGTGGGGACTGTGACTGACAAAAGTTTCTTCCTAAGTACTGAGAAGTTTCTTTATTCAATTCTTTCCTTGAGAAGTTTCTTTATTCAATTCTTTCCTTCAGGTTTCCCCCTGCTTCAATAATTGCATCTTTGGAGCTGGCACCTTCTCAAGGCCTTTTATCATTTAAAAGAGAAAAAAGTTAAGAAACAGCTCAGTTGCTTTGTTTATTTCACAAACAATCCTGAGTATAACCTTTTCTCTCTTCTTTGGAGCCATTTCTTTCCGTATTCTCTGCTGGATTCAATTAGTCAGTTCTTTGGGCCAGCAACTGTGATTTCAGGTTTGTTTGGAAAGAACCATGCAGATAAATGGTGCTGCATAATTACACACATGTTCTGGAAAGTTCTAGCTACACTGCAGCATCCAAGCATCCAACAGAGGAGATGCTGAGCTGTGCTCCTGAATTCCTCACTGGAGGAAATGAATATGGTGTTCTCACACTCATTTCTTTTCTCCCCCAACAAATATATATTAATCCTTGCAAAAATGAAGTTTATTTTTGAATATGTATCCTACTTAATTATGGCCTCATAATGAACTGGGAGCCAGAGGGCATTTATGTACAAGCATCTTCTGTGGTGCTAAGAAACCCCATTAGCTCCAGCAGCACAGGCTTGTGCTTTCCATACCCAAAGCTGGGACTCTATCCCCACTGGCAACTTCTGGCAGCTTTATAAGTATGTGTCAACAGACTTATTAAGCATTGGCATTCCTTGTGAGACTTGAACTCCTGTCAGCCAGCTGGGATGAACTTTGCCTGAGGGAGCATGTAATACTCTGGCAGAGTGCTGCAATCATGCCCCAGTCTAGTCCTTGGCTGATGAGCAGCCTGGAAAGCCTGCAGCTCACAGCTAATAGAGCAATTCCTTCTCTTCAGGAGGCTGAGGCTTGTGATCTGGGTTTAGAAGGCTCCCAACTTCTAACCTTGGACCTTGCCTGTGCTCTATTTTATGTAGTGATGCATTTTTTACTGTGTGTTTTCACATGGATTATTCCTCATTCATCTATGGACTGACTATTCTGCCCATGGGCAGCAAAGACACCCGAGCCCAGCGTGGTGTGAAAGAACATCCACTTTCAGATCACACCTCTGGGACTGAGCTTTTAATATTTGCCAATACAAGGGCTGAAGGGTGAAATTAATTCTTTTCCAGCTCACTAAACAAAAGAATTCCAAAGGAATTCCAGTTGTATTGTCCACATTGCTTTTGACTGTACAGAAGTAAGGCAAGAAAGTTGTGAAAGTAAAGAAGAAAGATTTGAATATGGGAATCCTGACTAACTTTTCAAGGCTGCTAGGGTTTAGTTGGGTTATATTTGGTGTTGGTGGTGGGTAAAGTCTTTACAGTTAAAAATTTATCAGCTTTGATGTGGAAGCTGGAGAGACAAAAATGTTATGATGCCAATTAAGTCTCTTTTCCAGATGTTCCTGTAGACACATCTCAGGATCCAGCTTGTAAACTACCAAGGAGCTCTCTGCTCCTAGCTGAATGCTGTTAGGAAGTTGATTCTTGTTTTCCCATCATTAGTTTCTCAATTGAGTGGAAATTCTGCAGAAAGGAAGATGAAAAATCTCTAAAATAAATGTTCTTTAGAGAAGATTCTCTTTTGTACCATCCTTAAAAGCTAGAACTGGGATCTGTACCTGGTGGAAATCAGCACGAGCTTACACAGCAATGATAACTAGAGCAGCTTGAGAACCTGGCTCTGTACTTCCAGAGCCACTGTGGTACCTCTGAGGTCCTAGGGGCCCAAGTCACACCCTTTTAACTGATTTTCAGAAAATGCACAGCGTTTCCCCTTGAAGTGATGAAATGCTCTAAAGATGTCTCAAATGATCTACCTGTTTTGTTTCAAAACTTTAGACCTGAACATAGGCAGCTCTGCATCACCAAATGAGACCAAGCCCACTACTCTGTGAAGTAAATCAATAGTTTTTGAAGAAATCCCTAGTTTTTAATCTTTGGTATATTAAGTAATAAGCTCTTGGACACCAATTTTTGCTTTTTATCATGATGCAGGGCACACATAAGATCTCCCCAAATTGAGGGTTTCAGTGATAGGGGGAAATGGAGAACAGTCATGATGATGGTAAATAAAATGCAAGTGCAGCATGCAACAGATGAACTAAAACTTTATTAAAACTGGGAAAAAAAAAAGAGTTACTCTTAGAAAAGAAAAAGCAGCCAATGATGCCTGTGAGTTAGGGCTCAAAGCTGTGCAGAGACAAAGATAAAAAGTTTGGCAATAAACGTGCTGAGAGTTCCCCGGCGGGAAAGCTGCATTTGAATGGTCAGAAGAAGGTCTCTGGGCTCTGAGATTTCCCGCTGCATGACCACAAGGCCACTGTGGTTGTTGACTTTTTTGGTGGTGAAAAACCCCTCCTGGTTCCCGCTGGTGATGGACAGCAGAATTTTATCCCCAGGGACAGCATTGGAAGGGCCCATGCGGAAAATGTCGGTGGGTACTTGGATGTTGGTGGGAAAAGAGAGGTGATAGTAGGTTATTCTCAGAGGCAGGCTCTGGCACTCCTTATTCTCATTACAAGGCAAGCGCTCACAGCGACTGCAAGAAAAGTGAGAAGACAAGAGAAAGAGGGAGATTAGTGTCCATTTAGCAAGCGTGACAGGAGAGCAAGGGCAGGGGGGGTGGGAGAAGATCTCCTGACCTACAGACCGTATCCACGCTTCAGCCTGGCCCCTTCAAGTCACATTGCCAATGGGCATTTATTAAACAAGGATGGACTT